TTTTTTTTTTTTTTTTGTCGTTCGGGCTCGGACAGTCTGCCAAGGGAGGATGTCCGACCGGTTGTCCGAGCGGACAACCCCGGACGGTCAGGGGGGTCCCGGACGTTCGATCAGGTAACCTAGGAAAAAATACGTGGGCGAGCACGTTTTGACACCGCCATCTTTGGCGATGTTTAATTCTTATTTGGCTTAGCCAAATGACTTGAAAATTTACAGGCATGTACCTCACGTCATAGAGAACTCACGAGAAAAAAATCAGAAAAAATTAATTATTTTTAGGCCCCGAAATCATTTTTGGCGGGGGCCGAACGCCGTTGGGTTCGGACCCCGTACAGGACCCCGAACGCCCGTACGTACGGAGGTCTGCCCAGGGACCTCCGTACGTACGGGCTGGGGACCCTGTATATATATATATATATATCTATTTGACGATATATATATATATATATATATAATTATCTCTGTATTTATTTCAAGGCTCCGATCTATTCGTTGGGAGCAGCACGTGCTGTGAACCGGGCACAGGGTCCCATATGAAATATACAACAGATTAGGAACTACTGGGAGACCTTCCCCTGCCAGCATTGATTACCCTGGATGCCAGGGGATTGACTGAGCAGGGTACTTCCTGTGAAGAGGCACTTTGCAATCAGAAACGAACTTTAAGGCAAATGCTCGAAACCGAGTCCAGAGTCCCTTATCATACCCAGAGAACCCGTCTGCCCACCCATGTACCTAAGGGAGGGTTCTTCATATTAATAGCGAAGGCTCAGGCTCGAAACCGGGCCACTGGGGGGCACCAGTTGGACCCTCCCCTCCTCTAGCCCTTCCCTGTTGCTGTATTTGTCGATCCTGAACTTGTGCTGCCATCGTGTGCAACACTGCAACCCCTTTTTTTTTTGTTGGGGGGGGGGCATCGGGTGGCTGGTTTCACAGGGGGTGATACGGGGGTCCCCCCGTGGGCCCGTGGTACTGGTACCGCCCCGGATGGCTCCTGTCTATTGGTGGGGAAGCGGCACCTGCGGGAAACCAGGTCCAGCGTCGTGTGCAACCCTATTTTTCTGTGAGTTCACGAAATCCTCTCCAATTGTCGGGTTGTTGGTTATTATATGTCGCCATGAAAGCCAGAAGCACTTGTGCCGGCTTGTCGCTGGGCCAGAGAGCCTTGCAGTCTTCCAAGTACTCTATAGCCTCTTCCCAGTTTCCGTTTATATAGGCCTCAACACCACTCTCGAACTTACGCGTGTAGTCGGTAATGGTGCCGTCAAGATCTTTCTGAGGAAGTATCGTGTTATAGGTGTACAGACTCAAAGGCTCATTACTGCCTTTCAAGGTCACTCTGTCGATTTTCCTGCAGTTGGCCTTCAATTCTGTTGATGTCAAATACTTTATCACCATCTCAGAAATCAGCAGGATCACGCCGTATTGCTTCGTGGCTGCCTCAAGCCTGGAAGCAATGTTGACATGGGGGGATAGATATGTGGGGTCCACCTTGTGCCTCGATCCAATTGCCCCCTCGATTGCCCATCCCACATGCAGTCCGAACCCGAGCCGGATTTTGAAACCGGGCATCCGAGCTTGAATGGACAGATGCTGAGAATACTGAGCAAGTGATTTTGAAGTCTCGATGTCACGGATGATGTCCAAGAAGGCTTTCAGGGCTCGGTCGGCAAAGGACATTCCTGGGCCCTTAGGTACCGGAGCAGATAGAGATCCTCCGAATCCTCCTCGGTTCATGTGAGTGGTCTTCTTCCACACCAGCAGAAATGCATCCCCTATGTTCTTGTTCGGGGAACCTTGATGAAAAACAACCCGGGAGTGGACCACTTGCGCAATCTCATTCACAAACATCATCACTTCTTCCTTCAAACACTCCGTCGTGTCTGTGAAATTTCGGATGTCGCAGAAGCCGAAGCATGCACGGATCTTCTTCCCCGGTATCAGTGGATTGAACTCCGACCCCTTCAGGTTCTCGGAAAGGATATCTAGCCCTGCCTCTCCCAAAGCAACTTTGGTCAGACTGGCTATCTTCATGAGAGCTCCTTCAACCATACTCGTCTCCATGACGTGTCCTTGCTCGTGGTGTTCGCCGATGATTTTCCCGGCAAGCGATACCGGGTCTTCTGCAAGCTCCTTGATGAAAAACACCATCCTCTCTATTGGCTGGATGAGAAGACGGTTGGAATCGCGAGCAAAGACGAAGGACCACACACCTAGCAATGCTACCACAAAAAGAGTCAGGATAACGTTAAACGCGGCCTGAAGTTGATTGCTCGGCCTCATACTGAACAGCGCTTCGCTTAACCCCCCGTCCGTCTGGAAATGACTCAGCTCCAAAAGCCTAAAATCTTCATACCCATTTTTTTTCCCCTCTGGTTGCAGCATTGGATCTGGATAGACCTGACGGAACTTGCCCCTTTCTTCACATGTGGGAACAAATGATGCGAACCTCGCAGGAACTAGCGATGGAGCAGGAGGAGATTTGCTGTCGTGCCCTTCTTGTTTACTAAACAGGCGTCTGATATCGTCGTTGCTGCTCCTCAAAGTGGACGCTGGCAAATTTTCGTCCAATGGAAGGGCGCCGGCAAGATGACGGTCACCCAACCCTGCGCCCACAACGTTGCTGTCATCCGAGTCAGCAAGCTCGGGCAGAGGGGAATTCATCAAGCTGCGCACACGAGGGTTCTTCAGGAACATAGGTTCCTTCGCCCATCTAGCAGTGAGTGCTGCTGAAAGCTCTTCGCCTCTCTGGTCGCCATCTTCGCCATGGGATAAATCTGGGACTGCGATGGATTGAGGCCAGCTATAGGCATCAGCTTTAGCAGTGCCAGGATTGAGCTGTACATGTAATCTCTTCTCAAGAGTATTTTCGGGGGGTTTGTCCGTACCCGCACCTCCATCCTCTGGGCTGTTATATTCAACGGGATGTGCGGACGTATCGAGCAACAGTCTCCTTTGGTTCTTCTCCTCTGACCCCATAATGCTTGTTGTTGACCCCATTGCTGATGGGGCATCACTTGCATTGGTGACGACTTGCAAGGCCATGTGGATGTCCCCTGGAAATGCCGATAGCAGCAAGGATCTCTTGCCACCATTTGCATTGTTGTTGTTGTTGTTGTCGTTTGTGCTGAAGATGTCGACCCCCGTGCTGGATACACTCACTTCTTTCATGATAATGTTGCAAATGCCAATGTACAACAGGTCGTATTTCTGCTCTCTGTTCTCTAAGATCATTATCTTTAGTGTGGAGTTGAACTCTTCCGAGAAAATGGGGAACTCCAACAGCAGGCTGAGGGAGGCCAGGGGAGAGAGGTTCACAAGGTCCTTGTGAAGAAGAGGAACTGCAATCATCATCGCCAAAACCCCGAAGATGAGTTTCTGAGTCTGAAGCTCCGACAGAAGTCGCCACACATTGCTGGGTTTCGAAGAGTCGATCACCGATGACTGGTCTTTGTCGTCTCCGTCATCATCACTCCGCCGCCGCCTAAACAGCCCTCTCCTCTTGATCGCCCTCACAATCTTGATCAGCTGCAGCAGCCTTGCCATTCTCACAAATCTTAGCAATCGGCTCGCCCTTGTCCCCGCCCTCGCTGCCCTTCCCGCTCTCGCTATCGACAGGTTCTTCATGAAAATGTCTGTAATCACTGGCAGTAGAGAGATGGTTGCTACCGCATCAAGGAAAAAGAAAAAGCTGAGGAAGTACCCCTTCCGCACTATGCAGGCTGCAATCAGGTCAAACGAGAAGAGAAAGAAACAGAAGAAGTCGGCTCCTCGCACAACTTTGTCATACTCTTTCGGAAAAAGTGCCTGGTTGATGTCGTCTGCGAATAGCCCAACCAAGGTGCAAACTATCATGGTCACCTGCCATGAGGTCCCGTTCTGAATGTGCTCTAGCTTAATAGCCCACGGCTGTTGGCGAACTCTGTCCATGAAGCTCTCTTTTGCTTTCGGTTTGCCGTCAGCTTTGTTTTCCTCAGTCATTTGAGATGAAACTTGGCTGCTTAATCGAACTTGATTGGATGTAAGAGCGGACCAAGACTTAGGCTGGATTGGACTGGCGACTACTTGAGACTCTGGAGCTACAGTAAGTGGACCTCCAGCTGCTTTCGTCCTTGAAGGCTCGACTGGAGCCAGGGCTGCTGTCACTGGATCTAGTTCTTTCTTGTGTTTTGATGAAATTCCTTCAGGTCTGTTAGAATCCTTTGGACTGAATAATGAAACCATTGCTGCTGTGCTTGCGCTCTTTTCAGCCCCCGTGAAGCTCGAGGTGTTGCTGCTGTAGATTGTCGAAATCTCATCCTCATTCATCTCCGCCATTACCTCTCCAGCCAAATGTGTGATCGCGATGTCGCGTACACGGAAAGATATATCACGTATTCTCTCGACAAGTTCTGCTGCGAATCCCCTCTTTCCTCTCTCTGTGTTTTCATTGGTACTCATGCTGCTGTTTACTGACATGCTGCGATCCCAGGTTTCCTTGCTCCCCCCTCCCTGGTCTGGATCTATTTCATTTGCCTCCCGAGCTCTGCAGCAGGAAGCACACCTCGACCAAAGACTTCCTACAGTCGATGACACTGAGGGACAAAAGTTCTGAGAGGCTGATGTGGCAGCATGCCCATGTGCAGAAGATGGACCATGAGGACGAAGAGGTTGAGGGAGAGGAGAAGAAGCTATCACGGACGTCCCTGCATCTTTTGACAATGATGGTCGTTGTAGCGATGCCATGCCTCCCTTGGATGATGGGAAAATCTCTGCAATGGCTTTCTGCAAAGGCGAAATGTTTTTGGCATCTGTCCCAGAGCCACTACTGACGCCTTCCTTCCGCGAAACGCCCTTGCCATGTTCACTGCCCTCAGCAATGGCAGGCAAACCGCCTGCAGCTCTTCTCAGAACCTCCAAGTCACCACCATCGCTGTCGTCAACCTGGTCTGGTGTGGCCTGGTGCGAAGGGTCGTCTGTGTGTGGTAGGTTGTTGGAGGACCATTCAATCAGGCGCACAGATCCTCCGGCCTGAAAGACTCCCAACATCGGAGTCTGCTCCTCAGTAACCCGAGGATCAAGGTGGTATGCTCCTCCCATGGGAGTAGCTGCACTCGCAAGTCTAGGCCGTCTTTTGATACGTTCGATTTCTGGTCTTGGCTGCGGAAAGCTTTTTGAGGGGGGTAAATCTGGCAAATGCTCCCCAAGGATTAGCGCAGCCTCTTGCGATCCTCGCCTGTAGCGCATACTGTAGTGTTCCCAAAGGTATCGATTCTCCGATAAGTGGGCTTGAACAACGCCCTTGAGTTTTGGAGCCAGGCCTGCCATTGCAATATACATGGGCTCTGCGATGAAGTCAATGCAACCGCATGTCATTGCTATCAATGTGCTGGGGTCGTCCCTGTCCATGAACTTAGAAACGGGCACACCAAGAGCTTTTTCAGTATCTCCTTGCCGATGCCATTCGATCAGTAGCAGTGCGGCCCAGCGCTTTGACAAAAAGAACGGTTTGATTATGTTACTTATGTCTGCACACTTCACAAGCATTTTCAGCAGTAGGATTGCATCCTCAGTTGCACTGGACTGATAAAATGTCTCTTGCCTTTCTCCAAACTCAGTACCTGTCTGTACTGAAGGGGCCAAGGAGGGATCCGACTTCGGCAGTCCAGACGCCGTTCCCTTAGCAGCAGCCACATTGCTCTGCCTGGATAATTCTTCTTGCATGATCTCTGTCCGTCTGGGAACCGAGACCTGAAACGGCTTCGTGTCCACCAGACGGGCCTGCAGGGCCCCAAGTACGTCCTCATGCTGTGCCATATCCGTGGCCAGGATGGTCCCCACTATTAGTTTCCTAATGAGGGCCTTCTCCTCCTTTGAGAAAGTTTCTATGGCCGTGGCATTCTTCCTATCCAGAATCACCCGGAAGGTGGTTGCTGAGTGGTGACTCTCAAGAACCGATCGATCGTTGTACCGCACCGCGAGGCGGTCATTCGTCAAGATGAGAAAGGAATTTGTGTACCCGGGATGGTCTATGTCATGGCAAAGGGCACTAATGATGGCCACATACTTCTCTAGGCTGGAGAGAAGGTCCCCCAGCTCCGTTTGCGTAAGGAAGATGTAGGTGCAATGCATGACATCACAGGCATGGCGGAAGTTGTGGTAGGCGTTGCTCTGGTACTGGGACTGAATATGGGACACAAAAATGGTGAAGGCATTCCTGTCTATACCAAAGGTATCAAGGAGGCCAAGTCTTTCGCAGACGTGCTCCACCACCCGGTTAAGGTCCTCCTCCTTGACCAGGAAAATATCAAACTCCCAAGAGTCTATGTCTTCCAAAAGCTCAGAGATACTCTTGGAAGTATCATAGATGACATTCTGTTCCTCCAGGAAAGCCTGAATGACTGCAGCCCTCGATTCCGCGTCGTGTGACCGAGGGCTTTCGAAGGGGGGAGCCCTCTCCAGCTCATCATCGTCAGCATCTTTACCCGAAACTTTACCCAAACCTTTACCCGACCCCCCCAAATGTCCCAGGCCACCCTTCGCACTCCAGTCGGCCATGTCCTGCGGACCAGAGGTTTGGGACCTTTGGGGCTTGGGATTTTCACCAACCTCATCCGTATCCCCTCCTCGAGGACTTGTCTTGGACAACGGATTGGCAACCATTCGGCTCCAAGAACCAGCAGATGCATTGTACCGAGACATCCGGTGATGTCGTCTGCCTGCTAGTCAATGGAGATAACCAACACTGAGACGAGGACCGTCCGATTGGTGCCTCTGAAGCGCCCATATGACCACACCTCATGAAGTCTAAAGTCCCACTTGCCCCGCAACCGAACCCCAGTACTTTTGCCACTTGTCCCACACTTGTCCCACAATTGTTCCCCACTTGTGCCCTTGGTGAACTCGGAAGTCCCACTTGTCTCCCACACGTGTCCCCCACTTGCCCCACATGTCCCACTTGTCGCCCACTTGTCTTTCACTTGCCACCCTCGTGGACTCTGAGGTCCCACTTGCCCCCCGCCTGTCCCACACCTGCCCCCCACTTCTCCACTGGTCCTCCACTTGTCCCCCACTTGTCCCCCACTTGTCCCGCACTTGCTCCCAACTTGACCCCAACTTGTCCCCCTCATGGACTCTAAAGTCCCACTTGTCCACCTGTCCTCCACTGTCCCCCACTGGTCCCCGCTTCCCCCCACTTTTCCTCGACTTGTCCACCGTTTGTCCCCCTCGAGCACTCTACAAAGTCTCACTTGCCCCCCACCTGTCCCCCACTTATCCCTCACTTGTCGCACTTGCCCCAGTTTCCCAGCTTTCCCGCATGCCTCTGCTGCTGTTCAGTGGATGGTTCTCCCTTCGTCCAGAACACTGGGATCAAAAATATGGACCCGAAAAAAACAAAAAAACAAAAAAAAAAACAAAAACAACAACAACAACAACGGACAAAGGAATTTGCATTTGTTGTTCAGGTCGAAACCAAGGCGCAAAGATTGCCAAGACTGAGGGCGTACTCACACTAGCTCTATCTTAAATGCACCTAATCGCATTTCCAGCCCGACCTGGATGCATCTTACCACAATTACGTCCATAAATAAGTAGAAAAGTCTTAGTGTGAGTATGCCCTGAATGCAGAAAATATGGTCAAACATCTTTGCATCTGTTCTCAGATAACATAGCCGACCAGTGTTCAATGGCATCTCAGAATCATCTCCTCCTCATTCTCCAACGTTCCACGCTTCAGTCTGGATGAAGTCCTTCACCGGATTGATTAGCCTCCTAGTGGTCCCTCGCCTCGCATTCCCTCCTGCCAGCTCATCCTCCGATCTCCGCATCCCCCAGATCAGCGGATCGGCCAGATTCCGCTGACATCTGCCCCCAACAGAACATGGAGTCACTAGGAATGTACACAAGTGACATGCTAATTTTCTGTTCTAATACAGTCATGATGAGGGTGCATCGTGTTCAGGGAAGACACTAGCGCTCCTCAGCTCACCCCCTGTCCATTCCTCCGCTGAAGCCCAGATTCCCAGATCTCAGTAGTGCTCCTTGCGTCAAGGCATTCTCAGAGCATACTCACACTAGGACTTTTTTCACAAAACTCTGGTCCCTGGACATGTTTGCCATCATATTAATCCAGTTCTGGCCATAATGGCAGTCAGATACATCTTGAAAAATCCTAGTGTGAGTACGCCCTCAGACTAGGACTTTTTTTCTACTAGCTCTGGATGTTATTGCCATCAGATTCATCCAGGTGCTATTAACCGCACAGTTCATCACCAATGAGTGCACACATATACATGCATCAAGCACACGTGAGATGACACAAATTCTACACTGGATGCCAGAGAGTATAAGACCAGAGAGCGCAGCTTATGAATTCCAACAAGTTATTACAAGAGCAATCCGGAAACAAATTGGCTGGCAGGAGGCAAAGTCGCAGGTCTAAATGAGCTCAGTCTGAGGTGGAAAGACTGGCATAACTCAGACGGGGAAATAGGTCGAGAGGTTTCCAGGACACGAGATACCGGCTACTATCAGGGTATAGCAGGGCAACCAGGGGAACAACGGAAGAAGACAGCAACAAGGCACACATGGAAGGAGATTGGCAGGAGAGAGCAGAGAGAGCACTGAGAGAACCCGTCACAAGACACTTTGGCGTGTGGACAGGATTGTGCCTCTGTCAAAGTCTTGAGCTTAAAGGATACCAGACAGCTAGGGTATACCGTAGTTGAGAGGACGTTGGGTTAAAAGGCAAGCTGACAGTTAATCCTCCACAAAGGTGGAGCAATCAATGCTGTTCATGGGTCCTTCGGCCAGACGGAAGGAAGCGTGTGTATGTATGTCGCTGTATTACCATGACTTGCCAGTGGAAAAGGAACCGGACTGATGCTCCCCAGAATGGATATGGAGCCAGGACCATAAGGCCCTGTTTTTTGGAAAAAAAAGAAAGAGTTCAAGTCACCAGCGCTCATCAGTGCATACTAAAGGTAACCAGTAACCAGCATAAGCTCTCAGACAAGTATCTCTTCCCCACTGCTCTTCTCTCTTATGTATCTCTCCCCCTCGCTGGCCTTCTCCCTAGCTATGTCCTCGCTGTGTCTTCTCTCCCTACATGTGTGCTATGCTCACTAACTTCTACTCAAGGATCTACTCTGAATACATCCACTGCTATGCCCACTGACTCCCTACTAACTACCGCCAACACCCTGCACTGGCGCAGCTATGGCTGCCTTCTCCCTCCAGCGCAATCCCTTCCTCTCTCTCTCTCTCTTAGCATGGCATCCTGGCTCAGCGCTCTGCCCCTCACTACAGCGCACAACTGCACCAGCACTTCCACACTTCTTGCGAATGAGCAATCTCCCAAATGAGGAGGCTGGCCAGTCCTTATATTGTCTTGGACTACTGTTCAACTCGGCCCAGCCTCCGCTTCCTGGGGCTTGACTTGGTTCCGCTACCACATCCCCACAGCCTGTCTGCTTTCGAATGTCAGGGCCTGGAACCTTCCGGATTTTTCATTGGTATGCTGCTGCTTGGCCTTTGAGCCACAACTTTTCGATTTTGACACTTGGTTTGACTGTGGACTGTGACTCCTGCCCCTGGGACACGACTCTGGCCTGTGGAAGTGTCCTTTGCTCATGGGATGTGACTTTCCAAAATGACTTTTCATTGTGAGACTGTTTGTCAGGTGCCTATTCGACTTGACTGCTACAGGTACCCGATTGTGTCTTTTCTGAAACTGACCGACTTGACCATTCTTGGCCCTGGTCTCTGACCCTGAACTCGAAGTTGGGGTCTGAATCGTGGAAGGCCTTTCACTCTCGCTGGCCTAATTTTGAAGTCCTCTGAGAAAATAACTACCTATCTAGTATCTACTATATTAATTCCTTTTCGAGCCCTCTCATAGTAAGACACAATATTCGGTGCAGTTTGAATCAGCTCTTCCCTAGTAAACCAGCGATCCTCATATGGTTCTTGATAAGCAAATCTTACCTTGTACTGTTGCTGTGGCCTACCTCTGCGTCCGGATCTGAAAATATCTTCCCCAACAATTCTGTCTACATCATACTTCCCATCCATGTCAGGGGGAATCATCGATCTACGAGTAGGAAACAGGTCATTAGTAACGCAAGGTAGAAGCTTGGAAGCATGAAACACCGGATAAGTGTGTAAATGTGGAGTTATCTCAACAACATAGGAAGGACTATCTATATCACCAATTGCATCTAAGATCTGCCACGGTCCTCTATAGGCAGGTAGTAGTTTCTGGGAGATGTTCTCCTCAGGGAGAAACTCTTTGGACTTTACCCAGACTAAATCTCCCACAGCAAACTGCGAGGGTCTACGATGCTTGTTTGCTTGCCGTGGTGGGGGACAAAGGAAAAACAAAAGGGTTAAAAAAACAAAAAAAAAACGTGGTGATTGGGGTTGGAGACAGTAGAAATAGTGTATTCAGCATTTGCACATCCTGCATGACGTGGGGATGGACCCCAGCATCCAGGAGCACTACCAGGAGCCTCAGGAGGAGAGAGAGAGAGAGAGAGAGAGAGAGAGAGAGAGAGAGAGAGAGAGAGAGAG